CTGGACTGGGAGTGTGGGGCTGAGGGAGGCTTGGGGCAGGTGCTGGGGTTGCCCCCCCCGCCGGTCCCAGTACCCATACTGGGGTTTCTGAGAATTGTGGATTGGCCACACACTGGCCAAAAATGCCGATGATGTGGGTTAGCAAAGAAGTATGGCCGGTCAGCCCAGGTACTTCTCTGTGTTGTGGCCCATCCCGGAAGAAGAGGGCCCCCCTGATGGATCTCAGCATCCCAGAAGGAGCATGGCCTGAGGCAGAAGGGCAGAGGGAAGGCTGGAGGCTGAAGCTGCGGGTACCCCACGGTCACATATTTAGGCACTGGCTTCCTTTTCCGAACATGTTTTGCAGAGGACTCCTGCCCCTTTCTCCACCCAGTGGTTCCTAGTTCCTCATCCGACAGGCCAGGACCTTCAGGCCCCTGCTGGGTTTTTTGGCATGATAGTCTCCTAGCCAACATTTGCCCCTGGGCTCCTGTCTGAGAGTTTGGCCCCTAGTTAGATTTGGCATTGACTTGGGCTCTTGGGGCCCCTTGGGCAGGAACATAACACCTGGACTCTGATCCTGCAGGCCTGGGTGGCTTGGCTTCTAGGCATTTAGATCTGGGAGACGTCTCCAGGGTAAGGCCAAGAGGAGGACCAAGTTGTTGCTGCTCTAACAGCTCACCCTAGGTGTCACCTCCAGTCCCCAGGGAAGCCACGTGCCTGGGCAGAGATGCACAGGTACCCAGGTGGGTTCCAGTTCCTCATCAGGAGGGCCTCCTCTAGACCTGCATCATATCCAAAACGGGATCAGACCCAGGAACAGAACCCAAGAGTCACATATTACACTGCCAGGTCAGAGTTTGGGTGATGTACAGCTCTTAGCCCATGCATTCCCCCGTTCGCTACTCAACTTGCCACTTCGGCTCACCCGAAGGGCTCACCATCCTAAAAGTGCCAGCAAAATTTCCCTTTAAAGAGGCCTTCCAAGAAAAATCACCCCTTGTGGACTTCCACGGGAGTTTTAGGATCAGGGAAACTGGTGTTCTCCAATCCTCCAGGGCTCCCGCACTGGCATTTCTGCCCACCTTGTGTATAACCACAGTAGAGTGTCTTTCAGAAAGAAATGAAGAATCGGGACCCCTGGCCTTTGTTCCCATGCCCACCGCTGACTTTCTGAATCACCTTTGCCTGCTCATTTGTCATCTGTTGGTCTCAGCTTTTTTCCCACTTGGCTTTTTCTACTCCCCCTATGAGGTCTGACTGTAAATAGAAGTTGAGTTTATGTGTCTAGCTACTCAGCAGGCTAATGTGAACTGGAAAAAAAAAATTATACAGAGACTTCACAGTCCTTCTAAGGACCTAGAAGTGTTCTGTTGAGTTCCTCTCAAAAAGTTGTGATGTAGAAAGTAGGAAATGTTTTGCCTGAAGGAAAAAAAGAGAGCCATTTTCAAATATGTAAAAGTGTAAAAGACTGTCCTATGGAAGAACTACTCTTGGGGTACCCAAGTCTTTGGAACAAGGGATGGAAGTTATAGGAAGATGGATTTTTGACTCATTATACAGAATTTTCAGACAGTTGGAGCCCACCCAAGAGGGAATGAGCCAGGAGGTATTCAAGTCTGAGACAAAAGGTTACTTCCAGCCATTAAGTGAAGAGCTTGTGAGATCAGGAGGCATTAGCAGGGAAATGAAGTCATAACCTGGTTCCAGCTTAGCTTTGATTCACAGCTGAACTGGCTATCTGGGTACCGGGGAGCCTGGTTTCCCGAACGTTTTCCTAGCCCCAAATCCCATTCTGCCAGGCCAGGCTTTTTCATGTATATGGGAGCCTGTGAATCTTCTACTTGCCAGAGATGCCAGATGGCTCTTCATGCGATACTCAGACCATTTCCATTTCCAAGCACTTTGTGAGCCTTATTTGCCAGTCTCTAGGAAACAAAAACCCTTGTCCCCATTTCCCGGGAGGAAGCCTTGAGGCCCAATGAGGTTGAAGTGTCTTGCCCACGCTCCTCCATGTGAATGGTTAATAAAAACTGGGCTTTCTTCTTTAGACCCTTATGTTCTTCAGCAGCCCCAATGGGGAGGAGTGGACTTTGGTCCAGCGGGTGCCCCCACCCCCACCCTGGCACCTTGCTGGGGTTTGGATATTAGACCACATGTGTTTACGGCCTCCATACTTAGCTGGAAGCAAAGCTGTCCTCCTTCAGGATGCTCCCTTTCCCTCGGTGATTCCTAACTTTTAGGGCTCTGGGGCCCTTTTGATAACTGATAAAAATTAGACACCCTTGCCCCAGAGAAGTGTCCATACAAACAAAAATTTTTTACATGCACATCGGGAGCAATTTCAGGGGGTTTACGGACTCTCTGCAGTGCATCTGTGGCCGTTGGGGTGGGAACCCTTACTCTATCTTGTCATGAGCATGAGTCACAAGGACTCAGTTCTCACTTGCAAGAACTTTGGCGAATGAGTTTGGGTGATTCCTCTGGATAAAAAGGAATCGATCGATCGCTCTCATTTGGATGGATCCTCAGGCAGTCTTCATTCAGGCCTACAGACTCTGAATAAGAAATCGTCATCTCCTACACCTTGGCTAAGGGTCAGAGCCCCTGACTTCCTTACATGACCTGAGGCAAATTATTCCTACCACCTAGTAGAAACAAATGGCATGGTAGAGAGACAAGGCCGTCACCCTCAGATTCAAGGTTAAGCAAGTCCCATCTCCTGCACCTGAGGGGGGTGGTTGTAAGCAGAATTGTCCTACACGTGAACATGGAAATGACCTTGGAGCAAGTTTGGTCTGGCCTTCAGGCCTGGGCTAGTTTAGAGCAATCTAGACATCTTGGAGACAATTTAGAGGGGGGAGAAATGACGATCGTTTGAATTCGAGAGGGGGTTATGGGATATGGAGTTATAGTCAACTCCTAATTATTCAGCAAACATCTGCTAATGTTGTTAATGGAGGCATGGTTCCCCTCCCCAAGAAGCTCTTAGTCCATTGGGGAGACACATAAGTCAACAGGGAGTACAGAGTGTGGATTATCCATCCTAACAAATGGAGTGTCGTACAAATAGACCACAACCACCGGATAATCCAGAAATTACTTGGTGGGCATTGCACGTTGGGGTGGCCACTTTACCTTCCCTCAAAATATTTGCTGCCAGTTTGAAGATATGTCTCCTTCCCTTGAGATCCCCCCTCACTGCTTATCATGAGCTGCTTGAAGTTCTTTTGTTGGGAGGTAATTCTTCTGCTCCACTGGAGACTAAGTACAATAAAGGGGCTCCTGTTCCAACAGAGAGATGTAGGTTAGACTTTAGGAGGAATTTTTTCCCCGGTCTGGGCTGCGAGACTTTTGAGTTTGCCTGAAGAAGACAGGCCTCGTGTTCATGGGAGAGCCCCAGGAATCGGGTGAACACCTGAGTTGTTTATGGCCATCCCCCCTGAAACCAAGGGACACTCAGGAGATGGCCCCATGCCCCCCCCGCAGAGGGGTGCCTGTGAAGCTCGGGCCTGGCCTCTGCCTCACTCTTGCAGCCTTGTGGCCGTGGCCACCAGAGGTGGCGCATCTGGATTCTGTCACTTGTTA